CCGCTTGACTTTCAGCCGCCGGAGCATGTTCCGGATCAGCCATCCGCGCCCCTTAAAGACGTTCCTGCGGGCGCCAAGCTTTTGTGGACTCGCGTCTTTGTGGATGGGGGTGTGGAGGTTCGCGAGGCCAAATTTGGGGTATACCATACACCGGAGGAGTTTCTTCATGCTGCCTTGAAAGTGACCCATCCCTTCGACAGTGCGGTGTCCATTGACGGCCCAAACCTTCGGGCCATTGCATTCACACTTGAGCATGGTGTTAAGGCGGTGCAGCAAAGGCGTATGCAAGTCCTTGACCACTATCGTGCTGTGGAGCGTTCTTTGAGGTCTGACGAGGAGGCCCTGAAGAAGGCAATGGACCCTACGGTAAGGGAGATCATGGGCGCCAAGAAGTTGCTCTTGTTCAAACAGATGCTAAAGGATGCTGGTGTTCCCGATGAGCGCCTTTTTGAAGACATGGTTCAGGGCTTCCGGTTGACTGGCCCCCTTGAGCCTTCGGGTTTGTTTCCCCCTAAGTATAAGCCTGCCGTCCTCTCCGTGGATGAATTGCGGCGCACTTCACAATGGTCCAAACACCTCGTAGAGGCTGCGTGTCGTGAGGCATCCCAGGACCCGGAGATTGCTAAGGCTGTTTGGGAGGAATCCCTGGGGCAGGTTGAGAAGGGATGGCTATCAGGGCCCTTCACATGGGATCAAATGGATCAAAAGTACGGGGGCACTTGGGTGGCTTCCAAGCGCTTCGGGGTGTCCCAAGGGGACAAGGTGCGTGCCGTCGATGATCTTTCCCAGTTTCAGGTGAATGCCTCGGTTACTGAGACCGAGAAGATTCAGCTTGAAGGCCTTGATGACATTGTTGCTCTTGCGAGATTCCACTTAGGTGCTACTGTGTCGGGCACAAAGGTTTTCAGGCTCCCTTTGTCAGGCGGCGGCGTCTATCAGGGCCGATTGCATCCTGACTTTAGGGAGGGTCGAGCACGGCGATTGAAGGGCAGGGCGCTTGACTTGCGGAGCGCATACAAGCAGTTGGCTCGGCACCCCGCCGACGATTGGGCTTCGGTGCTAGGCGTCTTGGACCCAAACACAAACACCGTGGCCTATTTTGAGAGTCATGCTCTCCCGTTCGGTGCATCGAGCGCGGTGACCGCCTTCAACCGGGCAGCGCGTGCCTTGCGCATTATCATGTCCAGACTTCTGTATCTTGTGAATACGTCATTTTTTGACGATTTCTGCCAACTTGAGATGGATGGTCTGACCGATTCTGCTGATCAGACGGCGCTTGCACTGCTTGATCTTCTTGGCTGGGAGGTGTCTGACGGTGAGAAGTTGAAACCTTTCGCTTCGGAGTTCACCATGCTTGGGGCCGTGCTATCCTTCAAAGATGCGGGCAAGGGTCTGATTGGGGTTAGGAATAAGGCCGGTCGCTTGGAAGAAATTTCTGCAATGGTGGATCGCTTCGCCTCTGACCCTAACTGTGGGGCGCGATCCCTCCCGTCCTTGAAGGGCAAGCTCTTGTTTGCTTCGTCGCATGTGTTCGGTCGCTGTGCTCAGATCGCGACTCAGTTGATTCACCATGCCGAACGGCAACCAGGCCCTGACGTGCATGCTTGCGTCTTGGAATCCATCAGGAGGGCACTGGAAACCCTTAGGACAGCTGGGGATCGTCAGGTGAACCTGTGGTCCGAACAGCCGCCCGTTGTCATCTTCACAGATGGTGCATGCGAGGAAAAGGGAAGCCAGGTGACTCATGGGGCGGTCATCGTTGATCCGGCTTCGCAGACTCGAGAGGTGTTTGGGGGCCACATTCCCGATGATCTCGTGGCAAAGTGGCGGAGCTCAGGCAGGACTCAACTCATCTTCTTTGCAGAGCTTTATCCTGTCTTGATTGCGAGACGGACTTGGGCTAAAGTCCTGCGTAACAGAAGAGTGCTGATTTTCGTGGACAACGAGGCAGCAAAGGCGGCCTTGATCAGAAATTATTCTCCTTTGTTGGATGCCGCTCATATGCTCTCCGACATTGCCGAGCTTGATGTCGAGCTCAGTTGTTTTCCATGGTATTGCAGGGTGCCGTCCAAGAGCAATATTTCCGACGCTGCCTCCAGGTTGAGCTTTGGGGAATATGAGGAATGCTTCCGAAGGATTCAGCCCACTCTGGCAGCGATTTAAAGCAGGCAAGCGCGGTGTGATTCGGATGGGGGGTATGTGGCACCGCTTATGATGAGCATTGGCCGTCATGAGCTTTATGCCGGAATCGCTCGTGATGTGCATGGGCCGTCACGGGTGATCCACTTTAACTATACGGCATGTTCCGTGACGAATGCGTTGAGTGCCATCCCCCGTCTGAAAACAAATCGGCCGTGTGCGCGAGTGTTCTGCATGCTTTCAATATGTGGATTGAATTTATTCATCAGTCATGTTCTATATTCCTTTGACGAAGGAAATAGTTCACTTGTGAAGTTTTCCTTTTTCTTGATTACATTTGAAAGGATTGGCTTATAAGGATAAAGACAATCTCACGTTCGTGATATCCTCTTATCCTTTTGCCAACAGGTGATATGTTCACCGTCCTTTCTTTGTAATCGTATTCCCACACTTTGTGAAAGTGGTCATGGTACAAAGGTGTTTGGGGCATGCCTCATGGATTCACTCTTTGTTTTGAAAAGTAGTCGGATGCGCTTTTATACTCATGGACTACTTTTCAAAGTTGTGACCTTTGCTGTTTTATGGAACAATGCTCCGCTGAAGGTCTTGGCTCTGTATGCGGAGCTCACATGTGAAAATTTTGACCCGCCCTCCCACCCTGGGGGGGTATGTGGCACCGCTTATGATGAGCATTGGCCGTCATGAGCTTTATGCCGGAATCGCTCGTGATGTGCATGGGCCGTCACGGGTGATCCACTTTAACTATACGGCATGTTCCGTGACGAATGCGTTGAGTGCCATCCCCCGTCTGAAAACTCGGCCGTGTGCGCGAGTGTTCTGCATGCTTTCAATATGTGGATTGAATTTATTCATCAGTCATGTTCTATATTCCTTTGACGAAGGAAATAGTTCACTTGTGAAGTTTTCCTTTTTCTTGATTACATTTGAAAGGATTGGCTTATAAGGATAAGAATTTGTACTCAGCCATACGGCTCCAGGATGAACAAAAATCAACAGTTCAGTTCCGACCAGGCACAATGAAGTAATGTTGTCAACTCGTTGTGACCCCTGTGGTTCACACCACTGACTGACGTGGCCATTGCGCCGGTGTTTTGCTGGCCTGCACATGACCCGGGGTGATAAGAGTGATTGCTCCCCATTTCGGTTCCTTACAAGCGCGATGCGTTTCTGCATGGTGTTGCGGCATTGATCTATGCTTCTTTGGAAGATGGTAGCTTCGATGCAAATGCGATGCCAAGCACAATGTGTAATCATCACGAGTCGTGGACTTTGTAGCTGCCGTGTCGGTTTGCATCAGGTAACGGCTGTGCCAGTGTCGCGGCACCATTTGTGTCTTCGAGCAAATGAATGCGGGAAGAGGGCGACATCGCACTCCGAGAAGCTCGCAATCATTCTTCATGCAAAGTCGGCAGAGCCGGGTCAGCCGCACATGGTTTCAGCAGAAGTTTTTCATTTGCGGATGCAGGCAAGAGCTGCCTTTGCAACCGCTGGTTCACCGAAATTCCGCGTGGACCGTCTTGGCGGCTTCCACCGTCATGGCACTGTTGAAGCGCCGCAGGGAAGGCGTTTTGTGCTTGGGAAGTGCATGCACGTAGTGATGGGCAGAGGTGAAACCGATGTTGTGATGTTGGCAGGTCGACCTCTCCAAGCAGCTGGCGGAGAGGTGCTCCGTCTCCGTTGTTGTTTTCGTCGTAAATCACGACCATGTCCACAGCAACGCAAGGTCTCAGCCGTGTCCGTGGACGAGGCCTTTTTCCCAATGGTAGCAGATCAGTCGAGTGCAAAAAGCCACCTGCACGTAAGGAGGTGATGTCACATGGTACCATGAATGACGATGAACCGAAGCTCGGCTAGAACAACTCATGTGAGTTCTGTGCACAGCACTCGAAGAATTGCATGCATGATTGCTACAGGAATCCAGTTCTCCGTTATGGCAACTTGGCTGCAATACAGGGGGCCAGGCCACCTGGAGGCGGCTAGTCATAATCTGAGGTGTGACCAATGGTTCTATGTTGCCTTGGACCAGCGCCAAACTTCCAGACTTGCTGCCAGAGGCGGAGCCATCTTTCGCAGGTTTTCTTTCGAACGATTACAGAACGCATGTCCATAACTACCAGGTGCTCTTTTCTGGCAAGGCTCTGCCTCCAGAGGCCATGGTGCGTTTTTCCGCCGCACAAAGGGAAACCCTTTGACAAGAGGCAGCCGGTTGCGGTCCGGACCAGCTCGCCTGCTTACTGAGCATGCTGGAAGCCGAAGAGGCTGGCAAAACACGGGCACTTCGAAGTTCGCTGTATGTCCCGAGTTGCATCATTCAGCGAAGGTTGACTTCGTCATGGCCCCGGCGAAGGATGCCTCTCACTCAGGAGCTTGTTGTAAGTCCTTTCACACGCAGGCGTGTGTGTTCGTGTGTGTGTTTGTGTGTGTGTCTCTGTGTTTCCGTTGTGTCCGCTTGGAGCCTCAGGTCGCCCTGGAGTTGCCGCAGGGTCTAGTTGCCGCAGCTGTCCTCCGTGAGGCCTTTTCAAAGAGACTGTACCAGATGCATGTGGGGTGCGTGGGCACTGAATCAAGTATCAGGATGCTCGTGACGCGTTTGAAGGAGCGCATGCTTTGTGCCAGTTCTAGTTAAGCCCACTTGTCGAGTGGAATAGCTGCCCCAGGACGGGAAAAAGCTCACGGACCGTGCACAAAACATGCTTGAAGAAGCGCAGCTTGAAGGTTGCCATGCAAGCGACACCGTCTCAGCACGTGTTCTTGCGGGTGACGCGAGCTAGTTACTGGTACAAAAACGTAGCGTGGCATCTTGTAAGCTCAGGAAATCTCGGCCTTCTTTGATGCTGCCTTCCCCAGGGCCAGGGCAGGTTCAGGCCGGGCAATCGGCAGCTTGAATGAAACGGCTGATCCCGCGTGGCCGCACGGGCCGCACCTCGATGAACACTTGTGCTTCGCAGATCTCATGATAACGTTGCACACAGGAAGCCAGGGCAAACCAGTTTTCCGAATCAGCCCCTTGCCCTTATCTGACGCAAAGCCTTCTCTGCATGTCGAGTTTCAGCTACAGGGTAGTCGGAGCTGCACTCTGGTCGCGGTCTACCCTTCCGGTCACTTGATGCAAGGATCGTGACCGCTGTGCAGAAGGTGTTGGATTGACAGAGACAGCCCATGTGGAGGCAGCTGGCATGTCCCAACTCGCTGTGAATTTTTTGCTGCCTTGATTGGTGTTGAACCATGTCGTCCAGCGCCGAGGATCCGGCTGAGAGCATGAGCGCGTCCTGCTCGCCAGACTTTCAGGCAGCAGCTTCGACGAAATGCAGGGGCATGGTCATTTCAAGCGGTGCGAAACAGCAAACCGGGCTCGGATGGGGTCTCTGGGCTGGGCAATGACTCGGCTTGGAGGTGGGTGTGATCAGGCTATAGGGCATTTCATTGCGCAGTGCAGGCCTCGATGGAGGATTGACAACAAAGGTTTGCGTGACGACCCATGACAACTGTAACCTTGTAACTGTTTTGGCGAAGGCTCTCTGAAGTTACATATGCGGCTTCAACAGATTATGTAGCCTCGGATTGTCACGAAATCTGAGTGGAGATGTGGTCAGTTTGATGCTACTGCACTTCTGCTGTGCCCCATTGAAGTGGCCCAGCGGCCACTAGTTCTGGCTCCGACACGAAAGTAATTCGGCCAGAACGGAGTTGCAATCCTTGCAGCGCCGAGGAGTAGCTGCGATTTGTTTCACGCCGAATTTCACGCCAGGCAACCAGCAGCTCGCCGTGCCCGCCTTTGCCGGTGCAGCGGGACAAGCCTTCAAAGTTGTTGCCCCAAGCCGTGACATCACTGGTGCACTTGCCAATAGTGTCGTCACCTGCAAGCATGATGGCGCAATGGAAGAACAGTACCAACCCAAGCGAGGTGAGTAAACTGGAATGCCTCGAATCGGCAGATCAACAGCCTCTCTCAGATGCCATGGCACAGATGCGGATACAAGGCTGCGTGTTCCAGCCAATTCAGCAATGTTGGGGAGTCGTGCTACAAGTAGGTACACCGCAACTCCCCTGTCTTGTCCGATGAAACGCAGCAGCAGGTTGCCAAGCGTTTTGAGCCCGCGAGGGAGCATCGGTACTGGTCGGGGGTGCTCGTCGGGAAAGAATTCCTTAGTACCGCCCCCTGGGTCCACACCCACCCTGGAAACTCCACAGCCCGATCAACTGCTAGGCCCGGGGGACTTCAAGCATAGAAAGAGCAGCTGCATCTGTGTCGAAGTGTGCAGAGGAGGAGTGCACAGATATCTCTTTTTTTGACAACTGCTGCTGGCCGCGAAGCTGCGACGCTTCTCAGTCGCGGATCCACAGCTACGCCATTCTGCAGGAGTTTGGGAACTATTCGTCCTGAACTTTCAGTGCCTTTTGGACTGCACCGAAGCCTTTGCTTTGCGTTTGCCATGCATTGCGCCACCTCGCCTTGCCATGAGGCCCGAAAGACTGGTTCGATGTCGCGTTGGGTGGGTCCCTCCTCCAGTCCCGGGCCCGAGGGAGAGTGCCGCTCTCCACAGGTTCAGCAACTGAAGGCAGCCGATCCGCTTCATTCAGATGTTCCTCCGCAAGGTGTGGCTTGGGCGGCTCTGCCGTTGTTTCAGAGTGCTATGGCGTGCACCGTTGGATTTAGTTTAGGTATCGCCAGGGAGCGCGGTGGCCGAGAGGAAGCGCCGGACCCTGCACAGAGGCCAGAACCGAGTCCCATACTCTGAGAGGAGCGGCACGCTAGTCGGGTCGAGATCTGTCGTGCAAAGGGCACCAGCGAGCCCCAAAAAGCATCGGAAATCACCTGGAAGAGGTTCGCCGGCGATGTTGCTCATGACCACCTGCTTCTGAGGTCACCTTCGAATGCCTGCTTGTGCACAGGACAAGGTGCTCCGATGCGGCTAACATCGTGCCGCTGCTGGCCCAGAGGCTTCGCCGGAAATTGGTGCTGGGTTGAAACAAGGGCTCATTCTTCTTGCGTGCGGCTGCCAGGATAGCAGTTGCACGTGGGCCGGCTGCGCCGTGCCAGACGATGTCACCTGAGTTCACGGCTCGCCCCAAATTAAGGAACTAGTCCCTCCGATCGCTGCGATCGAAGATTTTGAGAAGGAAATTCGGATCTTTGCTGGCAAGAACCACTCGACCCTGCCCCGGCCATCCCCCGCCCCACGAAGGAGGCAGAGCAGTGACGAGCATCGTTAAGAAAAGGGACAGGCATGTGATTGCATTCAGGGGACCGCTGCAGTTGCACATCCACACAGTAAGGCCACACACCCAGTGCTTTCGCGAAGGGATGAAGCTGCAGAATGACTTCTTGCTAGCTGTTGGAGCTTTCGGCTCACAGTGTGGACAGGACCAACAGCATTGACAACGCTCACGTAATTATGGGGCACGGTCAGAGCGTGTCTCGCATGAAGCAGAAGCGATGTGCTTCAGGCTACCACTCACTGGAAAGTCGCACCGATAATGGTGCCCTGCTTCGCGCTGCCCCTAGCCATGCCCAAAGAGGCCCTGGCAGAAGCGGCCGCTCCGTCTGAGACACCATGCCGGCTGCACTGGTCTGCTGCTGCTCTGCTGCTCGCTGCAGGAGCTTTGAGCTTTCTTGAGCTTTGGGGCGTGTCCCTGTGATGACCCGATTTGTGTATGCATGCGTTGGGTAGTGGTTCACGTGTTCGGTGACTTCCGCAACCGAGCCGGCCATGAAGAGGCTTCCTGCAAAGGGGTCTCGGATCGGAACTGCGGGGCGATTCACTGAAAAGTGGTGGTCTCGCACGCTCGGCTCGGTCGCGGTCGTCGTCGTTCACAAGCCCTCACCCCTGCTTGCACTTACTTGTAACTTGTAGCTTCGTCTGTCATGAAGGTGGAAGGCGCGCGTCCGTTTCTGCATAAACATAGATACCCGCCCAGAGGAATCCACGGACATTTTCGAGCAGTCGAAAAGCCGTGGCAGAAGCGATGAAGGCCGGCGGAGGGAATGAGATGTTGTCCCTTACTTTACTTTCTCCTCGTGCAGACATGGGAGGTCGGGCGGGTGGAATGAGTTGTTTTGCTGATGATTTGTTTTCACAGGCTCGCCGTGTTCCTTAAGGATGGCTCGGGCGGGCGGCGGGGAGCGGGGTGGGGCGCTGGCGGTTGGTGCCGCTGGTGGAGTTTTGCAGTTTGGGAGGCGGTGGAATTTGGTTTCCGAGGACATCCTCGAAAACAAACGCTGACGGCAGAGTTTCCACGTGCAGACCCCGAAGGTGCTTACAGTTGATGGGGCGGGTGGTGCAACGAAGCTTTCCTGTGGCTGAACACACTCTTCAGCTTTCATTTTCTTTAATGGTGGCAGGCGTGGTCGGCCAAGCCGGTGGAAAGAGTTGCTTTTCTCGCACGGCTCTTTGAGCTTCTGCTACTGGAAAGAGTTTCGACGTGTGCAGACCTACTAGGTACGTGTGCGAGAGGAGCGGCATTCGGGTGGAATGAGTTGCTTTCCCGAACTCGCTCCTTCTGGTGTTGATGGAAGCATTGGGCGCTTTCTGCAGGTGCTCGCATGCGGGGGCGAGCCGCTGCAATGAATTGTTTTCGAGTGAGAGATGGTAATTTCGAACTTGCTCCCTCAACAATGCTGCAGTTTTTGCTTGTGGAAGAGTTGGCCGTCTTGCAGAGGGGTTGGGAGGAGGGGTGTACGGGCAGGCGGCTGGAATGACTTCATTTTCCCAGATGAAGGTGAATTTGCAAGAGTTAACAACAGTATCCGACATGCTGACTAAGCAGCTGCTGGGCACAAGGAGTCCTGACAGGTTTGTTCATGTTGTCGTGGTCGCACCACGTACGAGGCCAACAGCCACAGGTGGGGCAGCAGCTAGAAGCTGGGGTTCAGGGCCGGCATAACGAACGACATGCTTCCTGGTGCAAGTTGAGCATGCTGCACAGAACCAGCGATACGAGCAGACGCAGATACACTATGTCCGCGTCCACTGGGTATACCTTCCAGTCAGGGTGCAGAGTTGCAGCGAGTTTGAACAGGGTTGGATCCGAAACGCAGAAAGCGAACGCATCAGAACACGCTGGCTCTTTGGTTGCGCAGCAAGCGCAGTTCGCAAAGGCACAGGTTGGAGACAACGTTGACATCCGTCTGGTTGCGGAGCGGTGAGCCGTTGTTGTCGGAAGCCGCACGCCGTGGCAGTAGATGAGTAAATTGAGTAGATGGGGCCACCATCGGATCCATCTCGGCAGAGCCTGTTAGGGGAGCTGCAGGAAGCATGAGTACTGTGTACTTGTGACACAAGGGCGGGCTTCAACTTGATTTTGCTACGTCAGGCTCGACCTGTTGCAGAACAAAAGCACTGCACGCTGGGCGCTGAGAAGTAGCAAGATGGGGCACGGGTGGCGATGGACTGGTGGAATGAGTTGCTTTTGCCTCTCGTTCCTGGAGTTATGCTGCTGGAAGACGTGGGTCGTCGCTCGCCTCGATGGGCTGCTGGTGCTTTGTAGAAGGGGAGAGTATGGTGGAAGGAGCTGTTTTTGCCGGTCATTCCTGGAGTTGTGCTGCTGGAAGACGTGGGTCGCTCGCCTCGATGAGCTGCTGGTACTTTGTAGGAGGGGAGAGTGTGGTGGAATGAGTTGCTTTTGCCGGTCATTCCTGGAGTTCTGCTGCTGGAAGACATGGGGGTCGCTCGCCTCGATGAGCTGCTGGTACTTTGT